TATATATGAAGTAGCTTAGTGTGTGTTTTGTATTAGAATTAGAAAAATTAGAAAGAGTTATTCATTTTGTTCTGTTACTTGAAGATTATTATGTCTGAAATAATTGTTTGAAAAAAGGGGCAGATATAATAAGATTTTTTCTTCTTTCTGCTGCCTTTCATTTTAAATCTTTTGTATCCTTTTTTTTTATATTGTTATGGAATTGTTTTGTACTTTTTTAAAATGAATAAACTATATACCATACCATACCATTTTTTGATCAATAATAACACAACCATGTTATTGTTGATGTTTTGTTCTCATGTTAATTAGGGAGATGATCAGAGCCCTAAACCCCAGAGATCCACAGAGAAGATTCAGGCAGAGACACAGAGGTGCAGAAGTCTGCATCATCCCTACCTCAGTGAATCCAGCGACCTGCTGATGGAATGTGAGGGACAACATGTCAAACTGACAACCAGGTGTCTGTGTGTGCAAAAAGCATCATCTACAGCCTCAGAGTGAACATGTTCTACTGCTGGAGACACCATCAGCCAGGAGCAGCTTGTTTGTGTCCAGAGAAAACAGACATGTTGATGTTTCTGAAGAAAAACTGTTCAGTGAAAGGTCCTCAGTGTGTAGCAGTGAACATTAAACACTGACGTGTCACTGGTTTGAAACTGGTCTTTTGACCTGGAAATTATTTGTTTATTTTAATGTAAGAAAACTGCTTGGAATAGAAAAATACCAAAGTTAAAAAATAAAACTCACAATTTGTACTATAATGTGTAACATAATTTTATTCTTGTTAGAATTAATAGTAATTACAAAATTGGTACCGAAAAAAGAACCGTCCAGGAACCGACACCGAAGTGAAGGTACTGACACCGGTACTGATACCGATTTTTTTTAGAAAGGTACCCAGTCCTACTCGGCTCAGAGGTAGGTCCTGACGACCTCAGCCTTCATCCAGCTGCACATGCAGGATCAAATCATCTCCTCATTCATCCCTCTCTGAGAGAGAAAATAACTCTCTGGCAACTCAAAGTTAACATTAGTAGTGATAAAACATCCGTAAATCTTGAATAAAAATCCCCTGACAGATACATGATCTCCATCTGCAGCAGAAACATAGTCTGTACGGATTATTGAGCATGGACTTTGTTATAGGTCTGTACAGTTTTGTTTCATGTATGTATTACTTTAGCTCTTCCATAACTCTAAACTTAATCCCTATCCACTTACCCTAAGGGGAGCTGTAAAGACAATTCAGGTGGTTTCCTCCACATGTGGTCTACAGACGCTGTTCAGTCCAACCTGTAGGGAGCATTCCACCTGTTGTCAGTGGAGAAGTTGTCTCTCGTCTGCCATGGCCTTGACTTTTGTAAAGTGTCTTGTCTACATCAGTTATTGTAAAACACAAAACATTTATGGGATGTGGCTGCATGACTCACTTGTCACAGTGAGTCTGCAAAGCTGAGGGTGAGGACAGAGTTAGTCCTCAAACAGTTGATTGACCATGTCAGTCGGCCACATTTGAAGAGCGTTTGGTAAAAAGAAGCGCATGACGTCTGATGATTCTGTGCATCATTTCAGTCACACAATATACGATATATGTTTTGCAAATGTTTGTTGTGTTAGGATTCGAACATTTCTAGCAAGGCATGTAGGTTTTTAAAGTTACATTGTTGTGCGATTGGTTGACTTTCAATAACGAGAAGTTGTAGTTTAAAATCTTAAGTCAGTATTAAGGTGTTTTTGAACAGTGTACAAACTGCAGGAATGTGTGTTCTGTCATTATGAGCAGTACTGAGTAGATTTCAAAGCACATTTCGAAACTGCCCTTGAAGCCTCAAAATGCGTGAAAGGAGGAAAGGATGCACAGAGTGAGAATACAAGAAATCACTGAATAGGCTAGCATTGATCCCTGGTCAGCTTTGGCATATGTGAGGACTTCATTACTGGAATAAAAGCGCCGGGCTCATTGTCGTGTTAAAGTTTACCTTGGTCTTCTTTTTTAGCTGTTCCTGCAAGGGTGATGCTAGTGTGAATGAGTCACTTAGTTTCTGAAAGGCGGGCTGGGTTTATAAAACCTTCCACTAGCCTTCGTCTCACAAGTTTGGAGGCCACTTTGCTCTGTGCTCCGTCACAGATGCACATGTAGTGAGGTCCGTCAGCTGCAGCATTCTTATCGTTCATGCCAGAGGGCAAAGGAGCTCCGTCATGAAGTTCTTCTTTTCTCTGCTCCTCTCCCTGTTCCTGGTGGCCCGTGGATCTTCAGCTGTCATCACTGGGGTAAGTAGACATTTAGGTTGAAAACTTATAAGGAAATGAGGCGTTCTTAAATTACAAAGTGCCTTTTTCTGCTTTTTTTTTAAATCAAGGGTAAATGTTTAGAATCAACATAAATGCTTGATTTCTTTAAATAATTAACACTTTCAACTCTTCAAGAGGCTGAAAAATAATTATGATACAATGTGTAATACAATATTTCTATTAAAAAAAGACCGACACAGCAGGATAATTATGTCGTGTGTGCTTTAAAATTTAATCTGCAACTCCCTCCAGCTTATAATTTTAGTTCAAATAATCAGGCAAAGATTAAAGTTTAAATCATACTGAAATATATTTATGTTGTAAAAAAAAACTGTAGCTAGAAATATTTAAAAGTAAATAAAATAGAAAAGCATTTTCACATTTTTGCCTTTTCTTAAAAACCGAGGCAAATATACAGAAAACAGTTCTTAATTAAATAAAAGGCATATTGTATTTATGTCATTTAGTGAAGCTGAAAAACAAGAATAAGATTTTTATGACTCAAATCTTTACATAACCGTATAATAATAAAGAACATCCACAACCTGTGGTGACAGATCTGGTTGCGTCTGTCATGACAGCGCTCTCACCTTGAGCTGATGGGAAAACTGAAGCGTGTGCCGCCATCAAACAAAGAGTGATTTTCATCAGCGTCTGTCACGTAAAATCACTGCTGTCCTCTTCAAACTGTTCTCATCCTCTCATCTGAAGTGAGAGCTGTCGCCCAGACTCTCATCCAGCGTTCAATAAGTGAAGTGTTTTATCGCTGGAGGTGATTTAATTGGAGTGTGGAGCTTGATTTCTAAATTCTGAACCTCCTGTCAAGTCTTTAAATATTAACTGCACGAAAAACAACTTAGAAGTTTTTCAGAAATGACAAGAAAAGGAATAAAAGGATGTCTACCTGGAAATGTAATTATTTTTACATGTTGATCAGTTTATCGTGTGTGTGTAGGCCTGTGAGAGGGACTCCCAGTGTGGAGGAGGGATGTGTTGCGCAGTGTCTTTATGGATCCCCAGTCTGCGTATGTGTATGCCCATGGGACGGGAAGGAGACGACTGTCATCCTCTGAGCCACAAGGTGAGGGTCTTCTCTCTGCTCCATGTTGACGTCAGTGAGGTGGCACGTGGACAGGTGTCAGGTGGGCGAGATTCATTGCCAAAAGCCCTCTGATTTATTTTAAATAAGAATTCCATTTATTATCTTTAACCACTTCTTCCTTTTGGGTTGCGTGGGTCACTGGTGTCCGTAACCAGCAGTCACTATGCAAGAGGCGGGGAGCACCCTGGACAGGTCTCCAGTCCATCATAGGGACACATAGAGACAACCATTCACTCACAACACAAGCTGTGTCCTCATTTACCCACAGCACTCTACTAGATCTATACAAAGACTAATCAGAGCTTTATCACATTCATACACTGATGCATACACTGATGGGACACACATCGGAGGCAATGAGGGGTTCAGTGTCTTGCCCAGAGACACTTCGGCATGTGACTGCTGGTGGATTTGAACCCCCAACTCTTGCATTGGAGAATGACTGCTCTAACCACTCAGCCACAGAGTGGAGTGCTGTATGAATGGGTAAATGAGGACACAGACTGTGTTGTAAAGCGCTTTGAGTGTCTTGATAAGATAGAAAGGCGCTTTATAACTGCAGTCCATATCATTCCATATATATATATATGGAATGTATATGTATATATATATATATATTTATTTATATTTATGTGTGTATATGTTTACTTCCTGTGGTTTTTATACTTGGACATTCAGGGTTGTAGCCGCAATTTTTTGTTTTATCCTTGATCACAAGAAAAGAAAGGGGGAGTGGAGAAACAGAGGTTAGAGAAGGCGAGCCGGTAATCAGAAGGTTCAGATCCCTGGACCGACAACATCAAAGTGAAACACCCACACCTGCCTCCACCCTCATTTGCCCCCCTCCGGGCCCTTGAGCAAGGCCCTTAACCCCCACCATCTGCTCCCTGGGTGATGGCAGCTCTCTGCTTCACACAGAGCTGTGGTAGCTCGGTGGTCTGTGGTTGTGTCATGAAGGACATCCGGTGTAAAAATAATTGTCAAGTCTTTGTGCGACTCAGTTCACTGTGGCGACCCCTGAAGAAGTGAAGTGAAGTGAAGAAGTGAAAATAAAATAAAAATCCATGATTTCAAGAAAGAAAAAAATTTAAATACAGATCTGTTCAAGTCAGGAATTAGGCTCACACAATAATTATTTCTTTGCCTGAGAACACAAACAGGTTAGGTTGTGTTTCCTGTACAGACTGGAGGAGTTGGAGACAATGAACAAACTGTTCACTCATCATTAGTGTGGTGTGGATGAACCCCCACTCTCCCAGACATACGTGCACATCACAGACCTGGTTTTGTTCAATCAGCCATAATAAGTTGCCACTGTTATATTTTCATCCACCTGTTGTTGTTAACTCGAGTTCAGTTTGAGTTCCATCTGGTTTTTGAGATTGTGTTTTTTTGTTATAGTTTTGCAAGCTTGGTAAAAAGATTCACAAAATCACAAAAACAGCTCTAGTCTTCTAACAGTACAGAACTGTGAAGGGTTTGAGTCACCCACAAAAATGATAATTCACAAGGTTGATAAGATATTTGTTTGGCAAAGTGTTTGAAGACGCTTAAACTCTATTCAACACAAAACGAGGAGACTGAAAACTCTTGTAAATGTTTTAATTTTGGAAACTCCTTCATGAATATTGTTCATAGTTTCCTGCAGCATAGTGAGATTCTGTAAAACTAAACTCACAAAGTTTAATGGATCAGAACAAAGCAAGATGAAAAACACACAAAAAGGGTAAAACGGCTCCATTAATATTTGTTTTTTGGGGGGAATGGAGATTGTTGTTTTTGAGAAAATCCATATCTGAAGGCCACACCAAAAACTACTTTTTTTTTTTTTTTATTACTATGAAAAGGTGATTCAAAATGTCCAGATAATCCAGGCAGACAAATCTAATACGTCAGGTCCTCTGGATGGATTCTTCTTTTTGAAACATTTTGTCTTTTTTCAGTCTGAAGAAATCTGAAGTCTTTACTTTGAAAGGGATTATTTCATTATTTCATTTTTTGTTTTTTCTCCTGAAAACCTCTGTCTGTGGACAGAAGGTGCAAACAGCAGAAAACCTCTGCTTTTGAAAATAACCAAACCTTCCTCTTTTATAAATACATTTAAAATAATACTTTTACTTTGTGTGTTTGTTTTCACGGTCTGAATCTGCATTTGTTACGTCTAAAGATAAAGTCAGATTTCAAGCCAAAGGTCTGTGTTTATCCCCTCTTTTAGGTTCCTTTCTTTGGGAAAAGACTTCATCATACGTGCCCCTGCCTGCCAAATCTGTCATGTGTCACCATCGACAGGGGCAAGTCCAAATGTCTGTCTCCGTACAAGTATCCAGAATACTTCCTCTGAGGACTAAAACACCGGAAAAATTTTGAAAACCTGTTTTTTATTATTTTCATGAGAGATACTTTTTTGTAATTTATCATCATGTTGATTTGGTTTAAATTAAACTATAAATTTAATGAAGAATTTTCTTGCCGCTTTTATCTCTTGATTATCTCATCTACTGTAACAGTTTCTGCCTTGTCAGTACATAAAATGTTTCATAATTTCAATGCTTGAATGCAGTGTTTTAGAATCTTTAACTACAAGTTAATATACTAATTTGATCTTATTTTATATTTTACATATATATTTTTAAAGCAATCGAAATATTCATGGAAATGAACCTTGTTAATAAAAAAACTGCTCTTTGTTAACCCAGTTGCAGAGCAAAAAGGAGGAAATTGAAAATACCTTCCGTCCGTCTGGCTGTCCGTGCTTGTGAAAATATGTGACTACATCTAGGCATACGAAATGTTCCTTTTCAAAATGGGTTGTCACGTCAATATCCAAGATCCATCTCAAAAGTTTTGTGACACACTCACAACAGAAGCAGGAGCTAAAAAGCTTCATTACTCTGGTAAAAAAATATTCATTGCTAAACAAACAATATGGTGAGGATTCCACATGTGATGTGCTTTTTTAGCCACAACACAAATAAACATTTCAATTACTATTAATCAATAAATAATAATTTGGCCTTGAGAGCAGCTCATCTTTCTCAGACCTTGAAATGACAAAATAGCAATTCAATCATTCGTCAAGTTTTATATTCAAAACATCTCTTTCAAGGCACATCGTTAAATTAGATTTTCTCAGATAATGCAAGGACTCCTCCAATCTAATACGGCACATATTGATAATTAGTGGATGGATGGATGGATGGATGGATGGATGATAGATAGATAGATAGATAGATAGATAGATAGATAGATAGATAGAT